CATCAGATTAATAACCAGCCGCTTAATTTACTACCCATGAATGTTTGGAGCAGGATCTGCGATCTTGGCAATCGGTCGCCGACGTCGAACTCATCGCGGACGTGGGCGGCGTACGATGCCAAGGCCGGATTTCCCTCCACCAATGTCGGTATCATCCAATAGCCTCAAACTGGCCTCATCCAATAGCCTCAAACTTGGCCTTTGGAATGCACGTTCCATGACCAATAAACACACACGTAATTACTGATTTGATTGTTGAACATGATCTAGATGTTCTAGTCATCACCGAGTCGTGGCTCTCTGGAGACAGTAAGAGGGATGGTCTCATATTAGCTGATCTAAGATCTGGTTTTGCCTAATTATGATTTCACCCATCGACCCCGGTTATCTTCCAAGGCGGTGGGGATTTGCTTCTCTATAGATCCACGGCTCGCTGTACCTTGAACAACAACAATGATTTTGCATCTTTTGAATTACTGGATGTCACACTCAATCTGACACCTTCATCTGCTGTAAGGTTGTACTGTATTTATCGACCACCCCCGTCTGCCAATAATAATCTCTCCAACGGCACATTCTTGGATGAATTTCCAACTCTCCTTGAAGGTGCTGTTGTAGATGATCATTTCCTCTATTATTGGGTGATTTCAACATACATGTTGATGATCCCAATGATAATTTTGCAAAATCTGTTATGACATGTGTTGATTCGTTAGGGTTCAAGCAACATGTTCGTGAACCAACCCATCGCGCAGGTCACCTCTAGATTTGATTTTCACAGGTTCGGATGATGTCTGCAACGTGAACTCGCTATCTTCCATGCCTTCCGACCATTGTGCACTTGTCACCACTGTCAATATCGCAAGGCCAAGAAATCCCAAGAAAGAGGTTTCCTTCAGGAAATATCGCAGCATTGACAAGGACTCTCTACGCAACTCTATTGACACAATGTTCCATTCACTTCCTGATCTATCTTGTCCATCTGCTTCGCGGAGCATTACAACTCATCTTTGCGGACGTTGATTGATGAGCACGCTCCAATCCAGGTCAAGACTGTATCAATCAGACCTGATGCGCCATGGTTTACCGATGATATCCAGGAAGCCAAGAGGCGAAGGCGTCGTGCGGAACGTCGTTCGATCAAGTCTGGACTTTTTGTTGATAGAGAGCTGTACCGCCGTGAATGCGATCATATTATGAGTGCATCTTCAATGCGAAGTCAGCGTATCTCAAAGATCTCATCAAGAATGCTGACACTAAAGAACTGTTTCGTCTTGTGAAGACACTCTCAACGCCCCTACAATCTTCACCTCTTCCAGATCATTCTTCTGATAGTGAACTCGCCAACAGATTTGCTACATTCTTCAGGGAAAAAGTCGCCAAAGTGTATCCTCTTTTCCTAATTGTAGTACCAGCACCAGCTTCAAGATCTTTTGCTCCAGGCCCTCGTCATGAACTCTCTGATTTCTGCCTTGTATCCCTCTCACAAGTCAGGAAGCTCATCACTTCACTTCCTTCTAAACACTGTAAACACCGATAGTCCGTTCCTACCTGGCTTCTAAAGGAAGTCCTCAATGAACTCCTTCCTCACATAACCAAACTGTTCAATCTCTCGTTATCATCCGGAATAGTTCCAGAGTCTTTTAAGACTTCTCTGCTTCTTCCCTCCTAAAGAAGCCGAGTCTCGACACGAATGGACTTAAGAACTACAGGCCCATCGCAAACCTGCCATTCCTTGGGAGGTTTTGGAACGTATTGTGTCACTACAGCTGAAAGCCCACATTGACAATCTCGGTTTGTTTCCAATCCCCAATCTGCCTATCGGAATCATCATTCTACTGAGACTGCAACTGTCAAGGTCCTAAATGACCTACTTTCTAGCTGTAGATAAGGGTAATGAAGCTGTCCTCATCTTGCTTGATTACACTGCCGCATTGACACTATCAACCACGACCTGTTACTCCATCGCTTAGAGAACGACTTCTCCATCACCGGCACCGTACTTCAGTGGATTCGCTCCTATCTCATGCACCGAACTCAGAAGGTGATCATCAATGACACCAACTCGGAATCATTTCCCCTCATCTGCGGCGTTCCTCAGGGTTCCGTGGTCGGCCCCCTCCTGTTTATTCTTTACACCAGCCCTCTCTCAAATGTTATTAACCTTCATCAGAATATTCAACACACTATGTATGCAGACGACACCCAGATTTATGTAACTCTTCACCCAAACAGCAGGACAGCCGACAGTCCGCACAAAACTCACCAGTTGCCTCAATGAAATCAAAACCTGGTCTTTTCAAAACTGTCTCTGCCTTAATGATTCAAAATCTGAAATGATTCATATTACTTCTAAATTTCGGAACTCAGACCCCTTTCCTGATCTTGTTATGAGTGATGGCTCTCTCAGTTGTTGTGCTTCTGTGCGTGACCTTGGTTTAAATATTGACAGCAATCTTACTTTCAAACAACACATTAGTAATATTTGTAAGTCTGCTTCCTTTGGTATATATAAGATCAGTAGAATCAGGAGGCTACTTGACCGACCCACAACTTCAAAATTAGTCCATGCTTTTGTCTCGACCCATATCGATTACTGTAATTCTTCTCTTTCTGGCCTCCCTCAGTCACATCTAGTCCCACTTCAAAGGGTACAGAATAGCGCTGCTCGGCTTGTGACTCTCTCGCGTAAATCAGAGCACATAACTCCAATATTGAACTCACTACATTGGCTTAAATTCACCACCGCATATCCTTCAAAATTCTTCTCCTGTGCTACAAAGCTATCAATGGCTTAGCCCCTCTTACCTTTCCGATCTCATATCCTTACGTTCCCGTACGTCGTCACGAACACTTCGTTCATCTTCCACATTACTGTTAACACCTGGACCCCGCACTAACACCCGGTATGGTGACCGCGCCTTTTCAGTTATTGCCCCCGCTCTCTGGAACAAACTGCCCGCCTTTATTCACTGCGCCCCCTCTGTATCTCAATTCAAATCTCTACTCAAAACCTATCTTTTCAAATTGTAAATTGCAGTTGTGCGTCGGTCAATGGAGGTGCGCACCATATTTGTCTTTATTTAGTTGATTGCCACTGTTTTTCTTACCTTATCTATGTTACTTTTGTATTTTTGCTTTTCTTCTAATTTAATTCTACGGGTTATAGTCTTCTCTTAATCAGAACACTGTGCGCTTAGAAACATCAGTATTAAGCGCCTAATAAATGTTATGTATTATTTTATTATTATTAATCTATGCTCCAAATTTAGTACTACCTTTTTTGTGCCCTATATGCTAAAGACCCATGCAGGGTTGGATTCTTTAGGAGGAATGGAAGATTGATATTGTTGTTTCATAACATCATTCAGTTTGATTTGATTCGAGATATATCTCATTAATAAAACAGTATAAAGGCTGTATGAGTCTCGAACGAACCATCGCCACTAATCTTGGTGCCAACACCGTTAAACCATGCTCCAAATTTAGTATAAAATTTTGTGTGCCCTATAAAGACCCGGGTTTGGATTATTTAGGAGAACAGAAGATTGATATTGTTAATTTGTTTCATAACATCACTCAGTTTGATTTGATTCGAGATATATCTCATTAATAAAACAGTATAAAGGCTGTATGAGTCTCGGACGAACCATCGCCACTAATCTTGATTCCAACACCGTTAAACCATGCTCCAAATTTAGTAATACATTTTGTATGCCCTATAAAGACCCGGGGCTGGATTGTGTAGGAGAACGGATGATTGATATTGTAAAGTTGTTCCATTACATCACTCAGTTTGATTTGATTCGAGATCTTTCTCGTTAATAAAACAGTATAAACGCTGTACAAGTCTCAAACGAACCATCGCCACTAAACTTTGTGCCAACACCATTAAACTATGCTCCAAATTTGGTTATACATTTTGTGTGTCTATAAATACCGAGGCTTCCCAGGATCATTTAAGAGAATGGAAGATTGATATTGAGCAGTTGTTCGATAACATCACTCAGTTTGATTTGATTGCGCATTATGTCTCTTAATAATGGTGTAAAAGTCTCTAAAGAGAAGAAAATAAAGAGAGAAGAAAGAGAGAGAGAGAGAGAGAGAGAGAGAGAGAGAGAAGAAAAAGATGTGAAAGGGAAAGAGGAGAGAAAGGAAAAGAGAAGAAGAGGAAAAAGAAAAGAAAAAGGGGGAGGGGGAAGAAAGAGATCAGGGGAGGGGAGGGGGGCCGAAATGGGCCTTGCCTCCCATGATGTTGCTTCCACTTCCCCCTCCCAGCAAAACAAAAAGAGAGAAGAAGGAAAGGGAAAGCAAAAAGGAAAAGAGGAGATAACGGAAAGGAAAAAAAAAGAGGAAGAAGATAAGAAAAGAAGGGGAATATCAGTTACTATTTTTTCCGCCAACAAGTTGTGGATCCGGGGGGGGGGCAAAAGGCCCTTGCCTCTTCCCCCCCCCCCCCTCCCCCACCGCCAAAAAAGAAGGGGAAAAGGGGGA